GCTCTAGACCTGGAGATGAGAGGTCAGGGAGTCCATTTTCCTAGCTGCACCTGCCTGAAGTAGAATGCCTAGAGCAGTGTTTCCCTAGTCTAGAACTGAGGAGAGTTCTTAAAGGAGTGGCCATGAATAAAATGCCACAGGCTCACGCTTTCTTCATAGAGAACTAGTAGATTGTCTTAAATGATTGTTTCTCTATTCATTGTATGCTCTTACAGCAATCTCCAGAGACTTTTAATATATTTTTTTAATTTTACAATTTCAATTGTTTTACTGCAGAAAGGCTGTGAAGAGCTTTGAATATCACATTCTGGAAGTTCTACCTCCTCCTACTCTCCCTCTTCCTCACCCTCCAATATTTCTTATTTCATTAAGTGGCTCCATCATTCATGCTCTCAGTTTTAAAAGAAGACTCAAATCTTTACCACTACCCTTCATTATCAGTTACTTTTTTAATATTGCAATACTTTCCTTATTAGTAACAGTAGAATATTAAATTTTTAATAAAGAAATCTTCAAATACAATGCATCAAAGAATGTAATTCTGCTATCTTTTTATTTTATTTTTCTTTGGCTGTGTTTAGTCAGCTTATGCACTAATTGAAGAAAATCTGTTATTATATTTTTTATATATAACATTGTAATTATTTTTAAAAATATTTTCTAACTCTGAGCTAAAATAATTTATCTCATTTAGCTTTCTCCCAACTTTTCCATTAAAGTATTTACATTTTTTGTGTTGACAATTTCAACATCTATATCATTTCTGAATCTGGTTCAAATCAAAAAGGTTGCATTGTCTTTTGTCACTGTGTTGTTTTTTATTTATTTTTTTGTATGCCTTACGTTTGTTGTTATTGTTGAACATCATATTTAGGACAGCAGAGGATGAGATTTAATGGCTGAAATTAGGCACACCTTTCCTTGTACTAGGCCATGAGTGTGAGATTTAGAGTCTGCTTTTTCAAAGTTGAGCCAGACTTGAGACTTGTTATTGCTATGGTTACTATAAGTGTACTACTGACTCTAAAGCTCTCCAACATTACTTTGTGTTTAGGGTGGGAGCTGGTTTGTTAAAAGGTTTTTCTCAGTGTATGTTCCAATCTTAGTTGTGTCTCCTTTCTTCTGTCAGAGAGGGATTTGCTTCATGCTCTTACCCAGTAATTTGTTTTTTGTTGTTCTAAATGTTAGCATGGTGGAAGTGGGGGAGTGTGGAGCTATTCTATTTTTTTTTCTGATTAAGCCTCAATCTTAGGAAACATTCTGTCCTTTGAATTAGGTCATGTGGCCTCCTTAAGTCCCTGCCCTTTTCCCAGCTTTAGTTCTATGCAAAGCATATATTCTGCCACTACCCCAAGAACAATGACTTGTTTTCTTAAGATTAGAAAGAGTCAGCTTGTCATTTTAGAGCATCTTTCTACAAGTCAGAAATAATTTATTTTAACTAGAAGTCCATTATGATCACATGTCTGGTCTTTCATTTTTCCACCACGGATAAAAATACAACGAGCCAACTCATTATTGGAATGAGTTTTTAACAGTGCGCTGAATGGGGCTATTGTTTGTTGCCCTTCTCATAGCACTTTAAGACCTGTGTTCAATAAAGAAAATGGGAGAAAGATCAAGGGTAGCAATGTTCATGTCTTTTTCACTGATGTTTCCCTAGTCACACAGTGCTACAAGGGATGCTTTCTCTGGACTCTTTTTGTCCTCATACTTCTGTATGCCCTAGGAGTTCTATTCCCTTGTTAACTTACACTCAAATACTGATAAACTTTAAAGAAAGTTATCAATTTCTTAAAAATTTTAGTTGAATCATTTTTACCACTGCTCTGTGACATCTGCCTCAAGCAAGGTAATGTTAGCATCACATCTCTCTTTGTATGACCTGTCTTCTTGAATTTCAGGTTAGTTGCTTATCCTATGACCTTTGCTCTATAAATAGTTTAAGAAAAGATGTGATTTTGAAGATTGTCCAATATTTTTTGTAAGGATGAAAGTGATTTTCTTTCCACCTTTCTCCATTCTAAGCAGAAGCAGGTAATCTATAATGGATAGAATAATTCAAATGTTGCAGTTTGGAGGATACATATGATATGACTAGAAAATGGATGCAGGAAAACCAGAGGTTGGGTCTCTAGTAGTTCATAAGTGAACTGGTGGTGATGGTGGAGTTGGAGATAAATAGGTAAGAAGTAAAATTAACATGATTATAGATTGGATAGGGTAGGGAAGGAAAATGGAGAATTGTCCAAAATGACTCCTAATTTTCTGGTTTATGAGACAAGATAATGGAAAGACAGTGGACATTAAAAGAGGAGGATTTTCAGGGGACAAGGATGAGTATGATTTTATACATATGGAATTGGAGGTGCTTTTGAAGCTGTCAGTTGAAGACCTTCAATAAACTAGTATATAATGATGTAGAGTTCAGAGATATCTGATCTACTGAAATAGAACTGTAAACCATTTTCTTGTAGGTCAGAATAAAAGCCATGTTTCCTTGAAGCTATAGAAATGGCATAAGTGAGAGAAAAAGAGGGCTTAGGACAGAGATTTAAGAAACTCTTTGAAGAATGCTCTGCTTGTTCTCAATGTTCCTGTTATATATTAAGCCCTTTTAAGTTCATGGATTGCAGTAGGGTTTTCTCCACCTCTGCACATGTTTCCTTTGTGAGATTGTTGTTTCTAATCTCTATCAACTCCCCTTTCCCATCTCCAAATATTTTCACTAACTTCTATTAGGTTATAGTGATTAAAGTGTTCTACCAGGAAGCATTATTAACTTTCTCTAAATCAATTGGTCCCATTCTAGAATATTTTAGGTCCCTGTTACATGCTCCCATCTGGACTTCTCCTTCATAAGATTTTTCACGTTAATTTCTTATTCAGCATGTATCTCCTCCCACAGTATAAGTTTCATGTTTACATATATTTCTATCTTTCTTTCTCACCAAAAAAAAAAGTGTTGTCTTGAACCACTGCCTGGCCCATATGGGCATTCAATAAATAGTATTTGAATAAGTGAGCTCCTGTATGGCCATGTTTTATCTTACCTATTGATCACCTGAAGTTGTGTGCTAAGACTCATCTGGTAACACAGAATAATTCCTAAACGATCCTAGTGAAAGTTGAGATGGCATGTTTTAACCATCAGAGGTTAACTCATTGAAATGTATGAGAGAGAAGAACTGAAAATTGGAAGGTGGGGAAGACAACAATAGATGGTATATATTTTACTTTTATAATTTTCTGCTTGGGTGATAGCCAGACTTTTGATAATAAGAAAGTTCGGTATGGAGTAAAAATGAAGTCCTTCTCCTGATTCATATCTCCATGTCTCTCTGTTCTCTCTCTTCTTAGCATGATTTGTCTCAATTATTTCCTATTAAAAGTGTTTGCTTTCTGGAGGAGAAGAAGGAAGAAATCTGGAGGGATTTTAATATATTATCTTTTTTTCTTTCTCATTAGATTAATCTAATTATATTAATCATAATTGTTGCTTCTGTTTGGAGCCAGGAATTATTATGAGCTTATGCCTGTCAATACTTGCTGTTAATCTTGCATTGCATCCCATCCGCATTGCTAATAAGGTAACAAAGAAGAGTGTATAATACTAAAGTAATAAGGTATAACAAGGTGTGTAATTATTGTACAATAACCTTTCTCATGGAGCAAAAAAAGATATTGCACAAAGGGCAAGATGCTTAGAATTCCTTGCTGTGCAGTTATTATAGCCTAGCTGTGCAGCAGTTATATCACTATTGTGAAGATTTTTTTAAAAAAATTGTAACATAAATTGTTTAAAAAAAGAAAAAATGTTAGGAAGAATCATAAAGAAAATGCCAGTTTTTGAAATAACTTTTACTATTTTTAACTTCATTCTCGTTAATGTTGCAGTAGATGATAATTTCCTTGCCTGTTGGAGACTAGTTTTTTAAAATGTCTTCCAAAATTAGGTGAAATGTTATAACAAAACTTACTTTTCTTGCACATAGAGTTGAGATGATGTTTGTGAAAAGTGCTTATTAAACAAAATAGAAATACAAAGTTAAAATGTTCAATATCTTTGAGATACCAGCATTCAAACTTTTCAGAGCAGAAACTGAACAGCTTATAAGGCTGTCAGTTAGAAACATAAATAACCCCAAATTAAACTAAATATGACATTATGGTTTAATATCTATATTTAACTGCATATAGGTCTTTTAGTGGGGGTGGCAGTCTATTGGTGCTGGAATATCTTTAGGTTAATATTGTCATTTTGCTGCCTTAAAGAACATTATTCCAACTATCGGTCTTATAGAGTTTTCTTCACACTCAAAGATTTTAGATGTATGAGAGAAGCCTTTACTGAATGAATGGGGAAACGTTCCATAACTGCTAATGATATAAGGATAGGATTTTGTCTATGCATCTATTCTTCCTTTAACCATAAGGCAATACTATATAAATTGTAAGAATTCAAAAAATACTTGCCGAATCAACTGAATATATGGAGATGAAATTATTTAGAGAAATTAGTTTTTAATGTATTATGTCATAACAAAAGAGATAAGGTACCTAGACAAAATTAAGACAAGCCAGACAAAATGAGATCAGATTTCAAAAGTTATTGAGAATTTGGAGCTATTAGTAGCTTCTATAAAACATGTAGATTACTGTAACTGAGCAATCATAGAAGATATGATTATTCTCATGCTCTGGTCCCATTGTTAGAATTTCTTCTACATATGGACTGAAGACTCAGCCAGACTAGTAGTCAATTAGCCAGGAATTACTATAGAACCTGACCTCAGTTTATTCTCCCTTCTTTTCAAAGTGGAAAAATCCTCCCCACTGAGAAGATTTAAGAGTCAAGAATGGAGCTACATACCACAGCAGTCCACTTCAGCTTGTGTTAACCTATCACAAAAAGCTAATAAACTAGGCTTGAGGTGTCTTCATTCCCAGTCAACTAATCATAGGAAACGCTCCAGAAAACCGTATCAATTTAAAAAGAGAAAGCAGTGTAGCACTAAAAATAATCTGAGGGGGTGAGTAATTGGCTCATGCAACTAACTTTTACCTTCTGGATCAGCTGATTACTTATCCATGGAAACTATTTCCATCTGACTGCTGTTGTATGTGTTCAACTTCATACTCAGAAGGAGTGATCATCCCTACCTCATTATGGTAGCATGCCAATCAATAACCATGAAGGAGATTTTACCCTGCTTGTAGCTAAGAAGTTGTTCTGGACATTTTATATAGATGCTGGCAGAAGACATAAGACTTCTGGATCAGGACTTTACTTCTCACGGCACAGTAAGTCACCAGCTTGTATCACTTTGATGTTTGTATTAATCTCCTGGGGAAGATGTGGAGGGAGTCCCAAAAGGGTGGCTTTGTGTTTTACAGAGGTAAGCAGATGAATGTCTGTCTCTCACAAAAGAAATATAATCCTGAGGGTAACCGTGGTACTCCTCCTGGCAAAAATGTTTACAAGTGTTGGGACATTCAGTGACATTTATATCCATTGGTGGCATAGGTTGACAGTGCCTTCCATGTGGCTTCTTGTCTGTCTAGGGATCTTATGATTCCTAGGTCATTTTGAATAACTGAGTTCAGTTCTTATTAGAGGGATTGCCTGAGGGAAGCCAGTTCGATTTGTCTTATTTGTCTAAGACACCAGCTAGGTGTCATTAATCTACCTCTTAAATGACTGAGTAGGGCAGGACAACATCAGAGGTGTTGATATGTGTTTTGTGTGTTGCCTTTGATAGACTTCAAGTTAAAGTTAAAGGGAATGGTGATCAAATCATGGTCAAAGCTACTCAGCTAGGGATGGCAGATCCAGCAGTCAGTTCCTTGTAGAGCATTTGCAACAGTTTGGGAGAGCTGTGCCAGGTGTTGTCTTTCTGGAGGAAGACACCAAGATCATCAGTGTCCCTCCCCGTCCCATACTTTTGAGGATATAAGATGGCCCCTCCCCAGGTTCCAGGTTGTTGTTTTCCACCTCTTGCCACAAATGCAGTGCATTCTATTCCAGGACCGACAAGTTCATTTTTTTCCAGTCATGCTTCACTTGTATCCAATCTCTTCATCCGGAAGGGTCAGATAGAAGACATTCAAGGGAGCTTTATAAAACTTAACCAGAATTAAACTTGATTCCCATAGGCCCCCTCCTGGCCAGGCTGCCACCTAGAGGATGTATCAACCAGGCTAACCTGGGATTACTAATAGGAAAAAGAAAGTTGCATCATAATATTCAAGATGGAATCCTGAGTTTTTAAAGTAAATCCATTTGACCTCTCACACCACTCCTGAACATTCCCCAGAAGCAAATGAAAGTATCCCTTTCTGGGGAGGGCTGCACTCAATGACCAAACTGCATTACTAAGTTTTATGGCCTAAGGAGAGGGAAACTAAGAAAGATGGTTTGTGTGTGTGTGTGTGTGTGTGTGTGTGTGTGTGTGTGTGTGTGTGTGTGTGTGTGTCTGAAAAAGGGTTCAGTATCAATGGTTTGGAAAGCCAAAGACATGACATGGATCCATTTCAAGGGCTCCTGTGGTGTATCTGAAGTCAGCTGATCAGTAAACTGAAAACAAAAGAGGTGCCAAAATTGGTGACCGAGGCCCAAGCATTTAGGAGAATCTTTGAGAATCAAGGTCCCCAATGGCCAGTGGTTTAGTGACATATGGAAGAGGCAGGAATAAAGTTTCCTCCAAAAGAATACCTGCCACTATTTTTGTGTGTGTAAAACTGAGATGTCACTGGGGCCAGGCAGGATGTAGTCTTGAATATATCATTCCACGTTGAAAAACATGCTTTTTGAGCCTTCCTATTTTGTTAGTCACGGAGTCCAAATTAAGCCACCCCAAAAATAGGATGTCAAGTCAGAGAGTCACAAGACCCCCATGGACCAGACATGAAATTTTGATTAGAATTCAGTAGAAAATTACAACTATTTTTTCAAAGCTGTGCACCTGGTAGATATGTCCGAGAGGCCACAAGTTTAATTCACAGAGCTGCTTCCAGTTGGAGGCTGTGTCCCTTTGCTAGAATCTCCAAATGACAAGAGCATCAGTTCCAGAGACTTGCACCATCTCCAAAAACCAGTGAATCCAATACGGTGCTGCAACTCCTTGTTGATGATGAGGAGCCAAAGAAACAGCAGTTGTTCTCTGGCTGCTGGATGGATTGAGCATTGTGAACCCATCCTTATAGTCCCAAGATTTACTTGGCAAGCATGAGTTTTCTTAGGGTTTACCAGCAACCCCTATTGGCAGAAGTATAACATCCTAGTCAGGGCTATTGAGACTGAGGCTTCTGACTTGCCAAAAGAAAGGAGGGTATCATCTCTGCAGTGAAAGCTTTAGATATCAGAGGGAAGAATAATATTCATACTCAATCCTGAAGCCCCTCTAGTGGCAAGTGGAAGTGGAATTTGTGCCACTATCGTTTTTCTACCTGCAGCTCTTCCCAGATTAGGGTAATCTCCTTGGGCACTTTATACAATCAGGAAGTATAAGCACACAACACATCAATTTGTAGAAGCAACAAAAATAGTACTTTGAACTAGCCAAGCCCCACTCAACAGATCTTGTTTGTTTGTCTCCTCCATTGTGGTCGCTGCCTAAAACCCACCAGTGGGATCCAAGCACCACTTTCCCTTGGGGTCTGTATAGAATGAAGACTGAGCTCTTGCTTCTAATATGAGGCATACCCATAGAAGATGGAGTACTTGCCTCTTTAGTTTTCCCCAACCTACTCAGGAAGTAGGTGAAGTTGAGATCTAGTGAGATTTAGAGATCAAGGGAACAGAGTTAGAGAGATAGAGATAGATAGAGATAATAGAAATAGAAATGAGATAGAGATAGAGATAGAGATAGAGATAGAGATAGAGATAGAGATAGAGATAGCGATAGAGAGTGAGATAGAGATAGAGAGATAGATAAAGACAGACTTTGTGAAAGCAAAACACATTAACTTTTGGTGCTAGTAAGCAAGTCACTTTTGGTTTTGAGCAACTGCATCATGGTTCAAGTAAATCAGGGGTGGGGAACCTTTTTCTGCCAAGGCCCATTTGGATATTGATAACATCATTCTGGGGCCATATGAAATTATCAACTTCAAAACTAAATGGCTATATTTGGTCAAACACTTAATTAACTCACTCCTAATGCCTTGGCAGGGCCAGACTAAGTGACTTTGCGGGCCTTATACGGCCTGGGCTGGAAGTTCTCCATCCTGAACTAAATGAATTTCTAATGCCCGTGTTCCACTCAAATCTCCATATTAGATTTGGAGACTCCTTGGCTCTTCCTCCTCCTGCCTGAAGGAGAGTGAATCACGACGAATACAGTGTGTTTCTTTCCTACATCCTGGCTCTCAAACTCCCTGAAAGGCAAGACAGTAGGAAACCTTACTCCCCCATCTCCTTCACCACTTGGGTGACAGCATTTGCTGCTGAAACGTGGGGAGGCTTCTCAGCTCCCCTAACCCAGCCCACAAAGAGCCTCTGTCCTTTCCTTTTCTGGAAAGCCATGTTTCTGTCAGCATCCCATCCTTGTCACCAAAACTGTCATAAAACTTTAAAGAGTCTGAGATTTTACTGTTCTGACAAGCTAACAAGTTAGACTGCTACAGTTTCATAGATGCTGGCAGAAGACATGCAATCCCTGGACTATAGATGAAGGACTTTGTTACCCATGGCAGGTAGACAGACAGAGATTCATGTTTGCCTCCATTCCCCTTGTCTCCAAAGTACTACGGGGTTCCTTTGGATGTTGCACACATAGTAGGTTTGTGTCTTAGCTGAGGAGTCTTACACTTAGGAAACCCTAATCTTCTAAAGGGGCTCTTAGCATATCTGCCCAACCTTTGTGTTGTACTGAAGGGACACATCATTTCTATCATCCCAGATCATTTCTATCATCTATTTTCTATCATCTATTTTCTATACAATCATCCTTAAAAAGAGGGTCCAGTAGATACACCTAAAAAGAAGATGTGCAGGAACATGAGGGATCCACGGAGAACTGTTCCCAACACATTTCTACCTGTTGTCACATGAATAAGGAAGGACTCAGTCTCCATCAGAGTTCGTAGCAAGTCATACCATCAGCTATTTCCCCAAAGGAGAACAAACACTTAAAGGTGAATGACTTCATTCCAAAACCCTACAGAATTCTGCAGTAATTCTTCCCTATAGGCTTGTTAAAAGCCCGTATAACCTGCCTTAGAACCTGAAGTAAAGCAGAATACCATCCCCAAAGATGTCTACGTCCTAATCACTAGAACTGTGAATATTGTCCTTACATGGCACATAGGAATTAATTGAAGTAGGAATCAAAGTTACTCATCACCTACTTCTCATTGTCTGACGTTTGCAGGACACTGTGGTATAAAAGAAACAATAAGGACTTTGAATCAGTAAAACTAGGGTTTAGAATTCTCATCCTACAGTTTGGACTGGTTATTTAACCTGAGTCTCAGTTTATTCACATGCATAATAAGGATGAGAAGATTTACATTACAGAAATGTGATGTTAAAATGAGATAATCTTACCAGGGAAGATGCTTAAAAGATGTTAGTATCCAACTTTGTACCCTTCTATTTTAGAGAGAGTTAAATAACCAATTTACATCTTAACTCAAAGAACTTCTTATTTATATTAGTGTGCTGGGTCTGGTGTAATAAAGTACTACAAATCAAGTGGCTTAAAACAGAAATGTATTATCTCACAGTTCTAGAGGCTAGAAGTCCAGCATCAAGGTATCAGCAGAATCAGTTCCTTCTGAGGGCTGTGTGGAGACTCTGCCATACCTCTTGCCCATCTTCTGGTGATTTTCTGGCAATCTTAGCTATTTCTTGGCTCATAAAGGCATCATCCTAACCTCTGCCTTCACCTTCACATGACATTCTCCTGCAAGCATGTCTGCATCTAATTTTTCCTTTTTTAAAAATAAGGACATCAGTCATATTTGGTTGGGGCCCTTCCTACTCCAGTATTACCTTACCTTAACCAAATACTATATCTGCAATGACCCCATTTCCAAACAGGACTCAGTCTGATGCACTGGGGGTAAGGACTCCACTGTATGAATTTTGGGCACGTAATTCAATCCATAACAGTGTTCTAAGCTATCTCTGCTAGTGATAGTTTTTGTAAAATAGGGATGTGGTGTTCATAATTTTCAACCCAATATCATTATCTTCTACTGAAGAGTGCAGGTTTGTCAGATTGTCAGGTAATAATGTCTAGTATAGTAATGTGCATGATATGTTTAATGAAAGCAGTAACTGAAACATTTCTTTAGTTAAACATCATATAATTGTCTTCCCACAATAGCCAGAGAAGGTCAAATCATTATCAACGGAAGAACCTCTGTTATTCAGGGAGCTTTAGAATGTATTATTATCAGACTAAATCAAACCACATTGTTTGATTTTTGTATAGTAATACCATATTTTTCGTGAGCTCAGATTAATAGTGATAAATAGTACATGCATTATATATTGATTACCATTTTTAAAGTGGCTTTGTAAAAGGCTAAAGATTTATGGGATCTGAAGAGAGACCAGAGTATCTGAAGAGAAATTATGCTAAGTGAAATAAGCCAGTCAGTGAAATAAGCATAACCAATGGAACCAAGACACTGAGGGGGTAGGGTAGCATGTGCTGGGGGGTAGGGGAGGCTGGGAAGGTCAATGGGGGGAAAAGGAGACATATGTACTACTATTTGCAATACTTTAAACAATAAAATAAAATTTAAAAATAATAAAATAAAAAAAGAAATAATAATAAAGTGGCTTTGTAGGCAGCCTTATTTTAAGATTTGTATTGGACAGAGTTCAGCTTTGTGTTTGAAGAGAGCTCTGGCAATAATGGTGTTCTGCAGATCCCTACAGAAGATATAGGATCCATGGAATTCTGTCTCTCTTTTCCTCACTTTTGTTTTGCCAGTCATTTGTTTAAAAACTTCTGAGAAACACAACACTGTATCCAGTGCTAGAAATGCTAAACCCTACAAATAAGGACCTCACAGTTTAGTAAGGGGAAATACAGTCATGCATCAATAATTATAATGTAGTATTTCTACTTCCGATCAAGATAGAGTAAAGGAATTTAG